TCAATATGATTGTTAAGATGAGAGTAATTCAATTATTGATCAAATTTATATTGATGAACAATTGATAAATTAGCATAGAAATCTAATATTCTCTAATATTTAAATATCTATATACTTCATTATTATTTTAAGATATATATTCAATTCTTTTAAAAATGATTTATTTTATTTAAGAAACAATCCAAAAAGATAGTTCATTATTGTTTAAATAAATTATTTTATCTGTCATCAGCTAGCATTCACTACAGAGTAAGATAAAAAACATACAATAATAGGCTCTTCAAAATGATTTATCAGACTAATTAAGATTTTGTAGGTTTTATTATTTGATAACGTTTTTTTTTTGTTACAATGTAGTCCATGGTGTGATTATGAAAACAAGAAATAAATTTTTCGTTTATCGTTCAGAAAAGATAGAAAAAATAAAAAAAATTTCTTTGTGATACTAGATTTGACCTTTCTTATTTTTTCGTGAACAGTCACTTGTCTGGCCTCTCTCTTCACTAAATATTTACTCTCATGTGCGTTGTTTGCTTATGGTCATCATTTTCACCAGTGATAAGCGTTATTGTTTTTTTAGCAAAAAAACACATAGAAACGAACAAAGTGATAAGATCTTGATAATACTAAAAGCTGTAACAATTCAGATTCTTTTTTTTGTTTTCAAAGGAGGCAAATAGTTAAAAACTACCTCTGACGACAATGCAAGAGCCTGTGAACTCGAGTAAGTTTAATCATATTCTTGAAGTTCGAATTCGAGCAAATGATTTAGGAAGCAATAAGAAGACATATCCAACAGCAATGGACGCAGACAATCGTTTAGCACGAAAGTATCTTTGTCTGTCACGCATATTATTCAGTAATTCAACTCTTGTGGCTGTCATAATAATCGGAATTGTTTTCGGCTCGATTCAAAGTAAGAACCTTGATAAATGTACAGAATTCTTCGCTCTCTGCGACAAATCCAGCTTTTTCAGTATGCCATACAGTACAGTAGACTGTCCCATTCGCGATTGAATAAGATGACTAATTTTCAAATAACACTTTTCGAAAGATATTTTTACTTAGTTTCTTGTATATCATCGTCATGAAAAGAATATGAAAGGGATGACAGTTAGGGAACTCAAGACGCAAATGAATTGCAAAAAATTCAAAATTTCCATATGCTATAGAAGAGACTTCGAGAGAATCGACCAAGGTCACAAAGGTGAGGATGTAGCTTCAGACCTATCTTCAGATCGGCATCTACCCACACACTTCGGAGTAACATAAAGTGCTTCTTATTTACGTTGCATAATCACCGTTGAAAGTCATTTGAAATGGAATGAGAGTAGACTTGACTCAATTAGTTCATTTCGCTATATTTACAAATAAAATACAACTGATCTTTGAGAAAAATTGATGACAGCAATCTTGTTTTTAGATTTTTAGATTTCTCTTCTTTAAGATTCAAACATGTAAATATTACTAATTTCATTATCTGACACCTGAAGATGAGTGTAGGCGCAAGTTTCGATAAGAAACTAAATACATACGTCATTCGCCTACATGCTCAAGATAACTTAAAAAAAAAAACTATCTGTTTTAGAGAAGTTAGTTCATCAGATGCTGAGTTCTTGATAAAAGATCATATCTACATTTACATTCACATCTTCAGATAGCTTTTAGGATGATCCACTAATATTATGCAAAAATAGGAAAATTTGAAACATTACTAGTGTAATAGGAGCAATTTATGGATAGAATGTTCTCAATTAATAATGCATAGCTGAATTTGAATCGCTTAAAATGTATGAGTTGACTTCGTGAAGGAAGTCCATTCAATAGGAAGTACTCGCCGACCAAGAATCATGTTTCGTTCAGTATGTTTCAAGCATTGAAGTGAGACCTCACTTTTACATATATATTTGTCTAAAAGATAAGGCATCTTATCATATCACAGTCACATTGAATTCAATGTTTGGAGAGTTAAAACAGATTCGAGACAGAAACATATTATTGCCTTTTAATAATTAAATCGACGAAATATTTTAAATATATGCCGATGAAATCGTCACAACAAATATGTTGTAATTTTATCAGTGGTCAATACAATTACCAGACATTTTTTCAAGAATATATAAAGACTTGCAAAAACCAACTTAACCCATCGGCATTATTTTCCATTTTAGAATCAGCAGCATCATCGCCAATATCTACTGGAGCTGATGTGACGACGACCTATTCGGGCACATGGAATGTCAAGAGTCCGATATTTTCTCGTCATACAGACCAAATAATGAAACATTACTATTACGAAACTATTCAAGTGAGCGTTCCAACGATGGGTACTTACACATTCACTAGTAACAATCCAACTAATACTTACGGTTATCTCTACGGTGATGAATTCGAATCGGTTGATCCTTCTGTTCAACTGATCTCAAAGGACGACAATAGCGATGGTCAAGGACAATTTAAAATCACCAAGGTTCTTCAGCCAGGTCAAATATATACGATGGTTGTCACAACATACAATCCAGAGACTACAGGAAAATTCTCGATCAAGTCAGTTGGCCCTGCTACCGTAGATATGCATTCTAGAATAGTATCAACAACATCTACCATTGGAACAGTCTGTGAGTAGAACAGCTAGTCTGCTCCTATTTGCAAAAAATGTTTAGAGTGAATTATCTTGAACTTGATAGAATAGACGAACCATATGATGTGTATAAAAGTAACTTGTGAAAGATCTGAATTTATTGTTCGATTGATATCAATCAAGAGTTAAATGATTCTTTTAGCATACAGAGTCTTGCTGTTGCCCCTTTTGTAGATTCTACTCATCGATGGTTCATTTTCAAGGTTATAGATATAAATGTACATTCTCAGTAGGACTATATTTCAAGTCAAGATACAGATGATAATTCTAAAAATTGACTCTTTCTCGATCGGCTGGTGAACATATTAGTCAACAGAAGCATATGTGTTATTTGAATCATTTCTATATTGTTCTCTTTCAGTGTTATTATTAATATTATATTGGATAAGGACTTTCGCTCTTCTTCTCTTGATCGACATATCTCCTGAAGTTAGATCAACTTTTTACAATAAGAACAAACTTGGAACCAGTTGACTTTTTTTCAATCAGATTAGATCGACCTATTGAAACTCTCGAACGATCAGCATAAACTTAGTTAATTAATATATATCTATTAAGTAGCTGCTTCTTTTAAGACAATTTCTTATTACAACTCAGCGGAGACGTACGACGTGAAAGTTCATATAATTCTTGGAGTTTCTAATAATAACAAATGTTATTTTAGTCTGTGATATTCCATTTACACTAATACTGAATATGAACGAAGATCTCTTCTAAAACTTTTCATCTAGTAACTCATAATAACTGATATTGAACAACATCTATGTTCTGTTTTTATTTACAAGAATTACTAAGCTTGAAGTTTTCTTATTTGAAATCATCATTTAACATAACTCAAATATTTTTCATATTCATATAAGGCTATTTAATGCAGATCAGAAAACAAAATAGGTTATAAAGTTCGATTTCTATAATAGACTTTAGAATTTTAGCTTACCATAGTGCCTACGTATTTTTACAGTTGCATAAAGTTAGCAACTTGGAAAACTTTCACAATAAAACAGAACCTTTTCTGATATTTTTGTCATGAAAACATAAACCAAACATTGATAGCCATTGAGAATTGTTTGATGGACAGTAAAAAAGTAGTTCAAAAAAGATCGAAAATCTTTAGTTTACACCGATTTTAACTTCTAATACTTGGCGAAGTTTTGCTACCCATTATCAATACATAGAACATAATTCGAAGTCCTCATTGTATGATCGAGAAAACATGTTCTCAAAATTTAGAACTGTGATTTTGATGACGACTAAAAATTCAAAAGTCCGAAATAAGAGTGTTAATTTCGGGCTATTGTTCTTTTCAGTAGAGAATAAAGATAAATATTTTGGGTGTAGGTGGGTGAGTGTGGGGTTTGGATGTAGGCTTCTCTTGTCTTCACTGACATCCACACCACGATTCTTGCACGTTTGTCCTATTGGCTTCTGCGACTTTTAGCCTTATGTTGCGTCTGAATGAAAAAACGATCGTTTGATGTCTCTCACATTACTGCACTTGGTAAAGGTTAATACTTCATAAGTTTCAAAACTATTCCCAGAGGTGGTTCACTCATCGTGTATATTAGTACTGTCGAAAAATTTCATTCTTAAAAGTTTATCTTTTCAATAAGAACAGAGATTTAGCGACCATTTTGGTATTTACACAAGTTTTCAAATTACGCATTCGATCACCTATGTTTAACTTGCTAAAAGTGACTGCAACACAAAAAATGATCTAATCAACTATAAGATGTTGTTTGATGAACGAGAAATGAAACAGCAAGATATCTCTCGAATCTTTGCAGATACAGAAACGTTGTCAATACAGAGAGAGATTGACACGATCCGGTAATAATTTCAACTGATAAAGGATTTAATCGTTTGAATAGATCCAATTGAAACATTTTGCACTACGAGACGTGCCAAAGTAGAAATATAACAACCATTCATCATCGAAATGACGCCTTTTACAGAATTGTTCAGATATTTTATAACGACCCAATCGTATAGAATCGAGCAGAAAGAAAAAACTTCTGGCATACCTGCTCGAATAGCTGTAAATAGCAGTGTCATATATATCTTTATCTGATCTAGAAGAAAATCTATTATTTGACACCTAGCTACAGATTTCAACTCTAACAAATCTATGACTCAGTACTCTTTCCTTCCGCTGATCAATGCCTGATATTCAGTGTTGTGTCGACTCACTGATTACACTGTATATCTATCCACATTTTTTTCAGTAATCCCACGGTAAAGAAGCAGTTATGAGAGAATTCAGTTTCTCAATTAGCCGACAAAGTCAGAATGATTGAGTATAATGACTCAGAAATCTTTATCAGTGTAATTTTTTTCAATTTCATTAGCATCGGTTTCACCTATGACGTTGTCGACCTATTCGGGTAATTTGTCATTGAGCAGTCCAAAATTTGTTCGACCTAATGGTGGCGGTGGCATCTACTATTATGAAGCGATCCAAATGACGGTTTCCATCAGTGGCATATATAACTTTACAAGTAGCAGTTCAATGGATACTTTTGGGTGTTTGTACAATAATCCTATTGATCTATCCTATCCGTTGCAGAATTTGATCACAACCGATGACGATGGCAACGGTGGTCAACAATTTCGAATCACTTATAACCTGCGAGCCGGATACACATATGTTTTAATTGTGACAACATTCGATACAGCTGTTAGAGGAATTTTCTCAGTCACAGCTACTGGTCCAACACGACTTAATCTCGTTTCAATTAGGCCAATAACTAGCAGGCCAATAACTACTGGATTGCCATCACCATCACGTAAGTGAATCTAAATATATGATGTACTTTAGATTTTACTAGGCAGTTGTTTACTAGAGCGATTAATGAAATTGACGCTTTGCATTTGAAATCTACTTAATAGTGCTCTTGAGATCGAACTGTAATGCAAGTAGAAATAAGTTTAGTTCTGACTTGACTTTCCATCTCCTAAATCAAGGGCTCCCGCTATTGGACCTTATCTGATCCTACTGAAACACTCAATGCATTATTTTACAGATGTGTGATATTCAAACTTAAGAATATTTGATTCAATACAGCATAAGAGTAATAGAAAGTTATGTAATTAATCATATCACTTCAAATTGTTCCGATAAATGAGCTCGATTCTCTGACGAGTTTGCAGTTTCTTGGGACATCGACGCTTGAAATACATTTCAGAGTGAGAAGAGAGGAGCATGCAGCAAAAGTATAAGGTCCTATGACGTTTACAGTTTCACTCGAGAAGTATCAGCTGGTCTAATTCTTCATAGTTATTGAGACTGAAGTCGATGATCGATTTGATACATTAGTATTGGAGTTGAACAACTTTGCAAATAGTTAGCTTAATATATAACAGACGAAAAGTTCAAACAGATAATTATTAATAATTATCTAATAAGTATTCAATTAAAAGCGAACGGTTCTATGAACATTGATCTAAAACAAGGCGGTTGTATATTCGATTTTTCAATTTCTACAAATGAAAGTAGATGCGATGCAGTTTTTGACAAGACAAGTTAAAAGTAGAGTGAACTGTTCGATTTCTACACTCCTATCTTACCCAGTATCGACTAGATTCTACTGGCTATTTCTCTTTATTTCGTTCACCTATCATGTGTCGATGACAACTATAGGTAGGCTCAATTTTTGAGTAGATCTATAGACTAACTACGTATTGCTTTGAGTCAGGTAATGTAGTGATTATTATCAATGACTATGTTCGACTTCTTTAGCAACAACTTCATCTATTGTTTCGTCGACATATTCGAGTATTTTGTCATGGAGCAGTCCAATATTTGTGCGACCTAATGGTGACGGTGCCATGTACTATTATGAAGCGATCCAAGTGACGGTTCCCATGACTGGCACATATACCTTCACAAGTAGCAGTTCAATAGATACTTTTGGGTGTTTGTACAATGGTATTATTGATCTATCCTATCCGTTGCAGAATTTGATGGCATCCGATGACGATGGCAACGGTAATCAACAGTTTCGAATCCGTCTTAACCTGCGAGCCGGATACACATATGTTTTAATTGTGACAACATTCCGTACAGCTGTTACAGGAACTTTCACAGTCATAGCTACTGGTCCAACACGACTTAATCTCGTTTCAATTAGGCCAATAACTAGCAGGCCAATAACTACTGGATTGCCATCACCATCACGTAAGTGAATCTAAATATATGATGTACTTTAGATT